GCAATTTCTGTGAATTCTGTGTGTCAGCAGCATATATGTGGGGGGTCCGTAGTGGGACCAGTGCTGTTTAATATCTTCATCAGTGACATAGACAGTGAGATCGAGTGGACCCTCAGCAAGTTTGCAGATGACCCCAAGCTGAGTGGTGCGGTTGATACACCAGAAGGACGGGATGTCATCCAGAGAGACCTGGACAGGCTGGAGAGGTGGGCCTGTGTGAACCTCATGAGCTTCAACAAGGCCAAGTGCAAGGTCCTGCCCCTGGGTCGGAGTAACCTCCGGTATCAATACAGTCTGGGGGAAGAAGGGACTGAGAGCAGCCCTGCTGAGAGGGACTTGGGGGTGCTGGTGGATGAAAAGCTGGACATGAGACAGCAATGGGCACTGGCACCCCAGAAGCCAACTGTGTCCTGGGCTGCATCAAAAGTACCGTGGCCAGCGTAGAGGGAGGGGCTTCTGCCCCTCTACTCTGCTCTGGTGAGACCTCACCTGGAGCCCTGTGTCCAGCTCTGGAGCCCTCAGCACAAGAAGGACATGGAACTGTTGGAGCGGGGCCAGAGGAGGGCTACTAAAATGATCCGAGGGCTGGAGCCCTTCTCCTATGAGGACAGGTTGAGACAGTTGGGGTTGGTCGGCCTGGGGAAGAGAAGGTTCAGGGCAGACCTGATTGCGGCCATTCAGTGCTTAAAGGGAGCATATAGGAAAGATGGGGACAATCTTTTAGTAGGGCCAGCTGTGACAGGACAAAGGGGGATGGTTTTAAACTAAACCAGGGTAGGTTTAGACTGGATATAAGGAAGAAATGAGGGTAGTGAAACCCTGGCAGGGGTTTCCCAGAGATGTAATGGAGACTCCATCCCTGGAAACATTCAAGACCAGGTTGGACGGGGCTGTGAGCAACCTGATCTGACTGAAGATGTCCCTGCTCACTGCAGGGGGGTTGGACTGGGTGACCTCTAGGGGTCCCTTCCAACCCAAAACATTCTATGATTCTATGATACTATATTTCTTGTCAAATAATGATAATGGTAAACAAGGCATAGAATGGTAAACAAGGCATAGTCTAGAGGCGCTCAGTTGTCTGATTTTGATCTTTCCAACTTACCAGTGAGATTCAATTTGTATAAATTTCTAAGATAATAGAAGTCTCAGCGTCTTCCTGAGGGTCTTTGTAGTCAGCTTAGAGAAAAAGGAACAGAGAGACATCGGATTCAAGCTGTTTGAGAAAGCCACTATCGAGAAGAAGATGTGGGAGGTGGGGGATGGTATTCCCACATTGACTGTAAGGGGCCTACAAGGAGACTGGATGAGATAAGAGACGTTCGTCTTGTAGATACCTGAGAGAGGTCAGATGAAGGTCATGTCATCTCTTGAACCAGTTAAGGGCTCCTCCAGCTTTGTGTGCTAATTTACCTGTTTGTGCATTTGGCTTCATAATTCTCCACGTGACTCAACCTTCTTTACCTCACCAAGTGGAGAAAGTTAATCGTGGGTGGTCCTAGGTTAATGTATTATTGAAGAAAAAGGGAACATTGTAATTAAACTTTTAAAATCTGATACAGATACTTATGCATTAATAATAATTTATTATTTCTTTCAGAAAAAGAATGTTTGATGTCAGAACTAGGTAAGAATACAGTTTTCCTGTCCCTTTTAGTACTCCTGGCGTACATCCCCCAAAAAGCACATGATACGTAGATTTTTACATGAAGTACTGGTGGATGTGTCTGTTCCCTTTATCAGACGTTTTTATGGCCTGTTTTCAAGTTTTATTATAAAAACAAATCATTCATTTTCCAATAACTTGTTGGAGCTTTAGTAATTGAGGGCAATGAAATAATTGCAAAGCTCATCTTGTCCTGTTTAACTTCTAAATTAAACCAACTGCACAGCCAGTAATGTGTTTTTTTCCTTCCTTCTTTTTTTGTTTTGCTTGTTGATCAACTTAGAATCACTGAAGATTACCAACATAGCAGGTAAATATAGTTCTAGAAAGGAGACAATGTTGACCAACTCTTACAAGATGGTATACATGAGGGAAGGAAAATGAGCTGCTTCACAAGAAAGAATAGCAGCTGCCTCTATTCAAATGTTTGCTACTTCTATTTCATTTTTAGCCACTGCTAAAAAGCATTATTTAGTGTGGCTCTCCTTCTAAGAGGCCTGCGATACTTTTCTGCTTCTGTGTAATCTCTCTGCTTGGAGTCTTGGTGGTTGTACTGAGATTTCTTGAGGCTCTGACTTACTGCTCCTGTTCTTTTCCACTTCCTGG